AAAACATATTCTACAGATTCACTAAAAAAAAGAGCCAAATTTCCAGAATATTTTTTATTTTGATGCCTGTTTCCTTTAGGACGTAGTACAACTGGTTCTACATCCAGCTGGTTATATCCAAGCACTGCCACGTTTACTGGCAACAAAAACAACCAGCAAACAACATTATGTGTTTTGCAACTTCAAGTGGGTAGTTTAATCTTAAATGTAGATTTGAAAACAATTTTACCCTCAGAAATACTGAGAAAGTAACAGTTGAATTCTGTATCTACACTAATTAGGAAAGATATTGTCTACTCAGTCATAAATTATCACTGTAACGCATTTCTAGGGGCCTCCAGGAAGTTTTGGTAATTTGCTTTCTCATTAGACATTATTTCCCCATGATTAAGGTGACATTTTGGCTGAAGTATACCTTCCTTTGAGGAGCCATAAATACAGCATTCAGGAACTGATGGCAGGCTTGGAGAAACAAGCAAGTGAAGCAGAACATAGTGCTTTTTGAGCTGTTTTTTTCCACAGACAGTCAAGGTCAGAGTAAGATTCACTTGTTCTGTGGGCACATGCCAGAAAGCCTACAGAAGTACACAAAAAGTGCTAGGGAACTACACTAGCAAGAAAGAAAAATGGAATAAAGAGAAAAAATAGAGAGGGTCCTTTTGAAACAGCATAAAATAATACAGATTGGAGCCTCGGAACTTCAGAGGATCTAACTAAGAAAAAGCTTCTTTATATTAGTTTAGATTTTCAGCAACTGCTGAGAAGAGTTAATATGTTTTAGAAATTCTCTATCCTGGTAAAGGCATAATACTGTTATTTTAATAATTTAAATACCATACCATTACTAATAAAGTACGACTTAATTATTTTAGAGACAGATTAGGGTATTTTTTACAAGCATTTCAGAGTATGTACAGGTTAATAAAATCTAAACTAGACCAAGCTATGATAAAATGTATATGCCAATTATATAGAAATAGAAATAATTATAATTAGCCCCTTTGAAATAAATATTAAAAATAAGCATTTACAAAAATTATAAAATGGCCCAGCTGCTGTGGCACAGAAGTAACAAGTGTCCAGCAAGGCTGGAAGCCACATGGTCAACCAGGGGTTTGGGTCCCCATGATCACACCTGGGGGCATCCAGGTGTCCAGGATCCTGAGAGGCTGGAGGGCTAGGGAAACAGAATCGCAGCATGACAAATCCCTGTGCTTCTCTCTCTCTCTGTCACATGTGCAAGCATGCATCCTCTATCAGAAACATTATAGAATGATATTTGCATAATGAAACCAAACTATCGTGGCCGGATAAGGATTCATTCCATAGTCTCAAACTTGAGTTCTTGTAAACCAACCACAACGTAACTTAGGAGTCTGCTTCTATAAACAGTTGAGCCACAGTCAATTACAGCAGCCATGCTGCTGTAATTCAATCATGGTCCACTACTTAAACTGTGTTCAAGTTGGCCAACCTCAAGTTGTAACTAATCCAGCTGTTTCTCTACCTCACTTCCTGCAGTTCCCTTTTCTGTACGTCACTTTCCTTTTTCTGTCCATAAATGTTATTGGACCACGTGGCAATTGGGACTTCTCATGACCAGCTTTAGGAGGCTTCCCCATTTGAAAATCATTCCTTGCTCAGCCAAGACCTGCTAAATTAATGTTTTTCCTTTAACAGCGGTAAAATTATTTTTTACCCTCTGACAAAATGTTAGCCACTGTTTTTGCAATAATATTTGAATGGCCCATGACAAAATGTTCAGTTAGTTATGTTCCAAGGATAAAATGAGTAACACAGGGGAAACATAAGTGGGTACTTGGGAAACAGCATATTCTCAATAAAGTTTTTATTTTTATTTTTTTGGAAATCTGGAGCCAAGGATTTTAGTATCAATAAAAAATATAGTCTTTACAGCAATTAGGAGTCAAATCACATCTTAGTGATTTATCATGGCTCAAAACTAACACCAAAATACATGGGCTACACTTTCAAGGATGCTGATCTATAAAATATCTGTGTAGACACCACCTGCCACATTCTGTTTGTGAATGACCAAATTAATAGTCAAGTAGTGTTTACCTTACCAAAAATAGGAAGGAACACAAAGAATAAAAATAACAAAAGCCTGCAGCATGGTTTTTTTTAAAAAATACATAGATACACACACACACACACACGCGCACACACACACAGGAGAACAAAAAATATAATGACTACTGTTATATCATTTTACTTTTCTTTTTAGTAATTATTTTATGCATTTGAGTCAATTTCCTTCTTGGGCTCCCAGTAAATAATAAATTCTGTAAAAAAAAAAAAGTTAAATCTAACTGTATGCAGACTTTTTGAAATCTATACACATTCAACTGCAAATTTTAAAAACAACAGATTTTTACTTAAAAATAATTTGAGAAACTTCTGAACTGCTTTCTTAGGAGCAGATGGAAGTCCTAAGTGAAAAACAAAAGACCTATTTAAGAACAAAGGGATTTCTTTGGAATTTTCCAGGTTATTCCAGTTTGTCAGCCTCTGCCCCAATTATACTACAAAGCTAGCAGATAGTGTAATAGTTACATGGCTGGACTCCCACATAGTCAACCACAGTTCAAGTCCCAGACCCAGCAACTTAAAACTTACGCTGGGAAAGAGGGCATGCATGCCCAAAATCCCAAGAGAATGGAGAAGGGACTGAGGTGTGGCCGTCCCCCCAGGGGGTGATTTCTCGCTTTATGTCTCTGTCTCTCTGGCGAGTACATGCGCCCTAATGCAAAAATCTCTCTAAAAAAATAAATAAATAAAGTTTAAATTGTTACACAATCTTCCTAGTTTAGCAAATAACCCTAGAACCAAATTATCTAAACAAGGGGGAGAAGAGGTAGACAGTCAAGATCAGGGTGAACTTCCAAAGGCTTTTTAGGATTTCAAAACTGGGGGAAAATGTAATTTTCTTTCCACTGCCCATTGATACACCTTGAAGCCATATTGCCTGACAGAGGCCTGCGGTGATCAGCTGGGCCTTTTACAGAGTAATTTCACTACTAAACAGCTGGGAGGAGAAACAAGATTTAGTAAAAAAAAAAAAAAGCACCATGCAGACTAACAATATTGCCCATATTAAGCTCTGTATTTTCTCTGAGTCAGAGTTTGGGTCATGCAGAAGTAAAACTGGCCCCAGAGAAGAGAATGGTTTCTTACAGATTGCCATTTAAACCTCAAATGACTAGGTTTCACAGCAGGCTCAATACATTCCAGCATGTAACTGCATTTTAATTTCCTAAAACCACAGGATATAAGTCTGATTTCAAATAGTGTCTGGACTGTGATATTCAATACTGATAAAACTGTACAATATTCTCTTGAAAGATCCAAAGACTCAGCATACAGAAAAGGAACTTCATTTCTCTAAAAGTGTAATTCTCAAAGAAATTTACTGAGTTTTGCAAATGAATTCTAAACAATGAATATTAACAGCTAAAACCTATTGCCATAGAAATGTAACTTACTAAATTACAGGAAAGGAACAGACTGTATGTTCACCACTCATATCACACTGTGGATACAGAGAGTACCAGACAAAAATGGTGGATAGGAGACTTGAAATCTTCTTTGCCATGAAATGCTCATTAGTGCTTATTTTGGAAAATAGTTTTAAAAATCTACAAACATGACTGAGTATTTTACCTGAATGTCTATTGAGAGCATGGAGATTATTCAGTGAACTTTATAAACAGAGTGAATTTGGGATCTCTTTCATCTCCAAGTATTACAGTAGTCCTACCTTATCCATGGTTTTACTTTCCGTGGTTTCAGTTAACTGTAGTCCAAAAATATTGAATAGAAAATTCCAGAAATGAACAATTCCTAAGTTGTGAATTGTGCACCCTTCTGAGTAGATTGATGAAATCTGATCTGTCCAGCTCCTTCCCACTGAGAGGAAATATCCCCTTGCCCAGCATAGCCGTGCTCCTTATACATCGTAGCCATCTTGATTATCAGATGAAAACAATATTGGTTTGGTACTAGACATGGTTTCAGGCATACATTAGGTACTGTGGAACACATTCCCCACAGATAATGGAGACTACTGTACATAGAGAAGCAACCTTTAAAAGGTGAAATTGTGGCATACATTTGGGAGTTAGCAATACATTTAAGATCATTATAGTATCCAGTTGCAAAGAATTCATAAACTTTTGTATGTGAAGATATTCAGACACTGATTAAGATATTCAGTTTTCACCTTAAGAGACTGGCTCCAACCTGACCTGGAGGAAAGCTAATAAGGCATTTTTTTTTTAAAGGGAGAGGAGAATGGATAAATATATGCTTTCCTCTCTAACATTATCGTCTTTGGTTTGGGGCCTGATTCCAAAATTGACTGACAAATTTAATGTTTGTTTTTAAGCAACATATCTGTTTGATCAATGAAGTCTAACTTTACCTAGAATAAAACTATCAAATTCTGGTTCATACTTTAAGGTGTGGAAACTATTAAAAAAGCCCTGGTTATTTTAACAAACCTAAATATCTAGAAAACCTGGGGCAATCTCCAGGATGCCTGTCAGATGAGTCCGATGGGCCCTTGTGGCCACTCTTCATCAGATTCCATCTAAGGTGTCACCATGTGTAAGAAGCCGCCACTCTTGATTTCATAAAACCTCTCCAAGGAGATGTTAAAATACAACATTACATGAATCTTTTTTCATTATTAAAATTAACCTGATTTCTGGAAAACATGCACACACATACATTCACACAATTAAAAAAAGCACCTCTTAGAACTGAAAACAAGCACATGAGATTTAATTTTTTGTGAACCTGTGTGAGTACATATATATATGTGGTGTAGTCCTCTATTTTACAAACACACACAAGCACACTCATCCACACTGCAATGTGTAAGAAGCAACCTGGACCCTGTTAAGAGTCACAGCCACACAAACATGAACACAGAAACAAAGCCTATGATCTCTAGCTGAGCTCTGCTCCAAACATACCTGCATCTGGGTCCTGGTTGAAACGGCAGTACTTAGAGTTTTCAAGTGAAGGCAGGCACTGCTCGACTGGGACCCAAACGTATGTCTCAGGACACAACAAATCAGAAGGCCTGTACTGACCCTAAAGAGAAGTGGGGGGAAAAAAAATAAATAAATAAAAGGAATAGGCATTATTAACATAGCAACTGCTGAGTTACAAAGCTGCTGAGCTACAGGAAAGGCCTGAACTGCACGTTTAAGCAGGGTTAAGCAGAAACCATAACTGTAAATATTAAGTAACTCCATTAATGATAGCTTTCCCATCTCAAGAATGTAGGTGGGACTCAAAGCTCTCTAAAAGTAACATATCACCATTTAGGATGCTTGTGCTGATTGGAAAGATCCAGGTTTTTACTCTCAGAAGAAATATTTAACATGATTCTTGCTGAGCTAATGCTAAGAATATACAGTTTCAAAGCTATCTATTAAATGCTACTTAATAACAAAGAGAAATTTCTTTTCATATGTTAGAGCACAATATAAAGTAAACTTATTTTTCAAAATGGAATTTCAATAATCTTAATAACAAATTTTGGGATCAGCATATGGCGTAATGGTTACGTCACTGGGCTCCCACGTAATTGACTACGGTTGGAGTCCTGGACCTGGTGGCTTAAACTCACACCAGGCACATGTGCATGCAAAAGCAAACCTTGAGAGGAGAATGGAGGAGAAGGGATTGTGGTGTGGCCATCCCCTCTGGGGGATGATTTCTTGCTTTCTGCTCTTTGTTTCTTTCTGCCCTTCTGGCGAGTTCACATGCCGTATAGTAAGAACCTCTCTTAAAACAAAAACACAAAAGAGGGGCAAGGAAGGGCATGGTGTTTAAGGCGCTAGACTCCCACATGGTTGACCACGGTTCCAGTCCCAGATTTGTGGCTTATTTTCTCATTTTCGCTCTTTCTCTCTCTTGTCTCTCTCTGATGAGCACATGTGTCTCATAGTAAATTAATAATAATAAATAAAATTAAATAATTCTTTAAAAAATAAGTAGCTCCAGATGGTCTACATACTTAGCCCACATTAAAATTCCTAATACAAAGTCAGTTTCCCCATGGCCTAGTGGTTAAGGGAGCTAGATACCACAAGGCTGAACATGGTTAGAATCCCAGCCCTGGTGGCTTGGAAAACATGTCAGGTTTTTGTGTGGGCAAGCCCTAAAATGCAACTGGATAAAGACATGGAGAAGAGACTGTGGCAGGACCATGCCTCGCTGAGAGGTGCATTTTCCCTTCCCCTCTCTGACAAGCACACATGCCTTCTGTCAATTACAATTTTTTTTTTTTAATCCTAACACAGTGTTATTTAGAAATATTGGGTCGTCGGGAAAGTCACGATGCATTTTTGCATAGAAAAAAATACATCATGACTTTTCTGACGACCCAATAAATTAATAATTTACTTTGGAAAGGGTAATAAAGTCAGATATTCTACTGTTATCAATCTTATCAAATGCAATCCTATTCTTTCCGTTAATTCAGAAACTGCTTTATTAGTGGAATGGGAGAGCATTATGAAAACCTTACTGAAAAGAAAGTTAAATGTAAAAGCTAAAGATATAAAAATTACAGAGGTGGACCAGCCAGGTAGTATCTTGGTTAAGATGGCTGGATGACTGTGTCATTCTAGTCCTAGACCAGTGGCTTGAAAAACATGCTGGCATGTGCCTGTGTGCCCAAATCCCAAGAAGAGAAGGGAAGAGAAGGGATTGTGAAGTTGTCACTGCACGTGGGGGATGATTTCTCACTTTTCCTCCCTCTTTCTCTGTCTCTCTCTCTGGCAAGCACAGATGCCCTAAGTAAAAACTAAAAAGAAAAAGAAAAAAAAAAAAAAGATAGAGAAGGCGTAAATGTTCTTGACCTTGGAGTATACAAAGATTTCTTAGTACAAAAAAAGCACTAACTATAAAAGAAAAAAAAAATGATGAGCTGAACTTTGTCCAAATTATACACTGTCTAATAAGCAAGTAAGAAAATAAACAAGCAAATCAAAGGGAAACTATTAAAACATATTAGACAACAAACTTGTGTCTAGAATGGATGAAAAATTTTAACAATTCAACAAGAAAGCAAAAATCCAATTGCTTTAAAAAAAAGGCAGATGACTTAAACACTTTGCAAAGCTATATGAGTACCTAATAAACACATGAAAAGATGTTTAACATCATCTAAGTTACCAGAAATAAAAATTAAAACGGTAACAAGTGATCACTGCGTATCCACTAGAAAGGTTATATTTTTAAAAGATAGAGTAAATAAGTTTTGGCAAGGATTTAGACTCTCTATCGGGTTGTCAGGAAAGTCATACACATTTTTGCATAGAAAAATCCGTCATGACTTTCCCAACAACCGAACGGAAGTTAGATATTATTGGTTTAAAATGGCATAGTCACTTGCTAAAAACACAAATATCCTTCTACATATACATGTACAGGATAAATCCTTTAAATTGGAATTGCTGGATAAAAGGGCTTTAACTTTTATAGTGCCTGAACAATTTTTCATAGAAGTTGTGCCATTTTACATTTCCATCTGCAATGTTATGTATCCAGGTACTAATTTCCCCTATGTCTTCTCTGTTTAGATGGGATGCAATCTAAACTCAACCTTTGCCAATCTGAAAAAAATGTCATTTAACTGTGAATTTAATTCCCATTATGTATCTTTCCATATGTTTAAAGAAATTTGTATTTCCTTTCCCATAAAGTTGGTCTATTTTGTTACATTGGTGGTCTTTCTTTGTTAATTAAAGAAACTCTTTATATATTAAAGAAGTTAACTCAGTTTGTAAAAACATCTTTTATTTTCCTAGTTTAACTGTCTTTTGACTGCACATGCCACAATCTTCTGCCATGTGGAAATTTGATATGTAGTCAAAATTATCATTTTTTAAAATAATGTCTAGGTTTTGCATGATAATTAAAAAGGCCACCCTCACTTGAAGATTAAAAAAAACATACTTTCATGTTTTTTCCTAGTACTTTTATGGTTTCATAATTTTACATTTACATTTATGTTCCATCTGGAATTTATTTTGGTATAAGGTATAAAAAAGATCCAACCTAATTTCTTTCAGATGTTTACTCAGTGGCCTTAACATCATTTGTGAACAATCTTTATTTCTCCCACCAACATAAAATGCCTCTTCGATAACTTACCAAATTCCAAGATATCATATAAGTAAATTCTCTCGTGGTCTTTTATTTATTCTGTTATACTGATCTGTCTAAGAACATGCCAGTGCCACACAGTTTTAACTACTAAAGCTTTATATTTATTTCAATACCTAGTAGATCTAATCCCCCATTTTCTCACTTGCAGTTTTCTGACCTTTTTCTGCTTAGTCTAGGATTCTGTGTTTAATACAAAATTGTCAACATGAACAAGGAAACAGTAATGAAAATGAAATGGCATATCTTGACTACTGTGATGGCAATCATAAAAGAAGAAAAATCCCAATAATGTCCCATTAAAAAGGAATATATGGGAGCTAGATATTTGTATGGTTGGTAAGGTGGCTTATTCGACATAGCTGACTGCAGGGTTTGAATCCTGAACCCAGTGGCTTGAGAAACACACCAGATGGGTGTGTATCCATGTCCAAAATCCCAAGAGGAGATTGGAGGACAAGGGATTCTGGTCTGGCCATCCTTGGTAGGGGGTGCTTTCTCACTTTCCCTTCATCTCTCTCTCCAGCAAGCGCGCACGTCCTTTAGCAAGTTTTTTTTCTTTTTTTTAATTTTGCTACAAGGTGAGTCCAGTTGGCCGGAGAAAGACAGAGAGAGAGAGAGATGGAAAACAAGGAGAGAAAAACAAAAAACTCATGGAAGATGGCCATGCCGCCATTCTTTTTCCTCCATTCTCCTCTTGGGACTTTGGGTCTGCACACACATGCATCAGTCAAGCCACTAGGTCTAGGCCATGTGGGATCCAGCTGCCTAAACCTCCAAGCCACCTGCTACCCCTTAAAAAGAATATATGTATTACTTTACATTGAAAAACAAAATCAAACCCAAAACAAAACAGCATTTTCTAATTTAAGGTGGAACTTATGCTAACTGGCTAACAATCATAGATTAAATACTGAGCATGGGAGTAGAGGTGAGCAGGCCTCAATTTTGAGTCTTTAAAAAGATTAAATAACAGACCCAGTTTTCCTCATTAACATATTCATACAGATATACAGGTGCACTAAAAGCCAAGTGAACCCAGGATTTAACAATAACGCTAACAATAAAAATATTCAGTCAATGGTCATTAAATGCATCTTCACTATGTGAAAGGCACTAGGTGTGGGGAACAAGAAAAAACTGAATAAATGTCTTCCTGTAGACACTTCACAATCAATCCATTGACAGTAACAGAAATATATAAAAATGAAGTACACATTAAAATATATTAAAGGACAGCGTACAACTGGACAAAGTTCCTAAAATTCCACAGTGTTCTTTGAAGGTAAGAATGTTCATACAAGTTAAGTATTATATTTTTAGCTCTTTAAATACTTAAGTTAAATTCACTGAAAGACCATAAATGTATACATTTTAACTTCTGCTCACCAAGTGAAGTCAGAATTTCAGGTTAAGTAATTCTTCTCCTAAGTACAATCTTTTTTCAGTGGTTCAAATATTTTCTCAAGCCATCAAAGAATGCAGTTTTATGAAATAAACCTCTTTGAAATGTTATGCTTTCTAAACTAAGAAAGTTGAGAGTTAAGTAACCAAAGTGCTTAAATCTCAGTTTAAAGTCACCATCACACAAATGAAAAATGTAGAGTTTGAAAGCTACCCTGCCTTTTCAGCTGGTGTAAGAAACTGAGAAATGTTTGTATTAAGAATGTAATTACTTAAGGATTTGGACATACTTTCCATGAAGAAGAAAAAATATTTAATCAACTCTAAGTACATTCACTGAGATTGGAACAATACGGTAAAAGCAGATTAATTCTTTCCTGTGGTGTTGACTTTTTGTAAATAAGAAAGAAATTTGAGTTGCCACAGATTTCCAAAGCATTCAAACTTTTGAAAATGTAATTGTTCTGACAGGGCTTATCTCATGCTTTTTTTTAAGAGTTCTTGCAATG